TCCATACTAGCGAAAGGAGGAAACTTTGCTGTAACCGCCACCAGGATCCCAGTAGAAAACATCATTGCCAATGTTGAATCAGCAATTTATCGCCTCCCCGAGGAGGAAGCAGAAGAAGTACGAGCAGAAACAGCAAGGATCCTGAAAAAGGCAAAACTTCCCTCCAGTAACATTACTAGGAAGGAAAGACAAGCCATCAGAGAACTGAATTCAGATCCGGATATCCTCGTTATGCCAGCAGACAAGGGGAATGCCACAGTTATCATGCATACAGAACAATACAAGGAGAAGATCAGAAAACTCCTGGACCCTACTATATACAAAAAACTCAAGCAAGACCCAACTGCCAAAATAACCAAGAAAACCAACACCCTGATTAAGAACTCCTCAATAAACTTTGACATACGACAACAGCTATGTAAATCGGAAGCCCATCCACCCAGGCTTTATGGACTCCCAAAAATCCATAAGGACTCCACCCCACTCAGACCCATCGTGAGTGCCATTGGATCCCCCACATACGACCTAGCAAAATTTCTTGCTGCACAGTTACAAAGCCATATTGGGCTCACTACACACTACATCAAGGACTCAGCCCACTTCATAGAAAAAATCAGCAATCTCAAGCTAAATACAAACGACAAACTGATCAGCTTCGATGTGGTATCTCTATTTACCATGGTCCCGGTAGCAGACACCATGGCACTCATCAACCAGAGGTTCCCAGAAGACATCACGGCTCTGTTTCACCATTGCCTTACCACCAGTTACTTTCAGTGGGACAATGAATTCTATGAACAGAAAGATGGAGTAGCTATGGGGAGCCCTCTCAGCCCGGTCATAGCTAACTTCTACATGGAACACTTTGAAAAACAAGCCCTGGAGACAGCAACCAAAAAGCCCACGATATGGTTCAGATATGTGGATGACACCTTCACCATTTGGAGCCATGGAGAAGAAGAACTCAACAGGTTCCTGGACCATCTTAACAGCATCCACCCAAACATCCAGTTCACCATGGAAAAAGAAAATGAAGGAAGACTGCCTTTTCTAGATGTCCTAGTCATCCGCAAACCAGATCAACAATTGGGTCACACCGTCTACAGAAAACCCACACACACAGATAGATATCTACATAAAAACTCCAACCATCACCCAAGTCAAAAAAGAAGCACCATTAAAGCCTTGGCAGACCGTGCAAAAAGAATCTGCGAACCCCACCTCCTCCAAGATGAACTGAACCACCCCAACTGGGCTCTCCAGGCCAATGGATACTCCACCTCAGACATCAGAAGAGCTGCAAGACCAAGAACAAGCCACGAGAGTAAAGATGAAGATCCACCCAGAGGAAAAGTGTTCCTGCCATACATCAAAGGAACCACTGATCGCATAGGGAAGCTGATGAGGAAACACAACATACAAACAATCTACAAACCCACCAAGAAAATCCAACAAATGCTACGTTCAGCAAAGGACAAGAGGGATCCTCTCACCTCTGCAGGAGTCTACCGTGTATCATGCAGCTGTGGACAAGTCTACATAGGGACCACCAAACACAGCGTCCAAGCACGAATCAAGGAACATGAAAGGCACTGCAGACTACTTCAACCAGAGAAGTCAGCCATAGCAGAGCACCTGATGAACCAGCCTGGACACAGCATATTATTTGAGAACACAGAAGATGCTGGACCACACCAACAACCACCATGTCAGACTACACAGAGAAGCCATTGAAATCCACAAGCATGTGGACAATTTCAACAGAAAGGAAAAGGCCATGAAAATGAACAAAATCTGGCTACCAGTATTAAAAAACTCTAAAATTATAACAGCTAAACAACAGAGAGGAAAAAACCAGGCACAGATTAACACCTCCCAGCAACAGATTTTCCCAGGCTCAGGCAGGCCTTCAAATGCTAATGAAGGTGATCAGCCAAACATTCACACCTAACTGCAGCAGGGAAGAGCTCCTTGCCCCACCCCAGCCATTCCACAGATATATAAACCCATTTTTCCTACTTCCAACAGACCTCACAACCTCTGAGGATGCTTGCCATAGATGCAGGCGAAACGTCAGGAGAAATGCCTCTAGAACATGGCTCTATAGCCCGAAAAAACCCACAAGAACCTGGAAAGGGAAATGTTTGCACCAAAAACAAAACTGACTTAATCATTAACTAGTGCGATACTGCTAAAGCACGTCAACATTACTCTTGAATAATAATAAAAATAATGGAAGCTCAGTCGAAACTCCTGAAATATCAATTTCTGAAACCTTGGAAGGAGGGAACAAAATCCAAGATAGTGCAGAAAGAATTTGCATGCAAACCCATGAATATGCAGATAAAATAGGAAACGGTAGGGACTTCTTTCCTTTGGGAGAAGGCCCTAAAATGCTCACTTGTTGCTGCATCTCCGCCTGCAATTCTTGGCAATTCTGTCCCAGCCAAGACTTGATCCGTTCGGGGTCAAATCCAACCGGTTCAATGAGATGGAAGCCTTTTTCTTTCTCCGAGGTCCATTTTGGGGGTTGCTGGCACCCCTCAAATGCTTCCCAAGAAAGTGACTTCCCTACCAAAGGAAAATAAAAGTTAAATTCCACATTAAACTACTCCTTGAATCCCCAGGATAGTCAATCTTAGGTGCATCTACACTGTGGAATTAATGCACTTATGGCAGTTACGGACTTACCTAAATTGCAGGTTTTTGGTCTCTGTTTTGCAATGGAACAATCCAACTTTTCCCACTCTTCTCCCAATACGTTTTGTTCCTGCGAAATCGCCGCGTTAATTTAAAAAAGAAATAAATAAACAAGAGAGAAATTGAAATGTGAAAGTGATAGGGCAGTAATCACAAAACTAGAGAAATCAAAGTTAAAAATGTACCCCCTCTGCATTTAGAAATGAGCTTACACTAAGGGTCCATCTTGTCTGGAACATGTGCAATCAACAACTTTCACAAGACAGTTCAGGCAGAAGGCTAAAAAGCTGACAAAGTGTCTATTGCCATATATGGGGGAAAGAGATATTTGGGTCTTGTACTTCCATTGTCAAGAAGTCAGTTGGTCAATGTGCTAAATAAGGAATTAAAGAAGTTAGTTAGTCAATGTGATAAAAAAAGGAATTAAGCCTAGGTGGTAGTTTGTAATTGGATAACTTTTGCTGCAGTGCCAAAGAGTCTTGTCTATATAATGTGAGCCTGAGAGACACTGGGCACGGCAGCCTCTTGAAAGTACCAAGACCTGCGTGTTTGGTATGGCTGACCCGTCTCATCGTGATCATGACAAAATAAACCTTGCTTTTGTACTTCTCCGGAGACTGGGTGTTTGTCTTTCTGCCTCCTGTGACCGGAGCTAATGCAGGGACCCTGGATTTGGGGGTCCCTAACGAAAGAGGGTTTTAATCTTGCTAAAACAACAACAACAACAACTTAGAAAACTGAACATTTTGAAGCTCAACATTTGAAGGCGCCCACAGACAGACATAGATTGGGATAAATAGAGGTAGATACATACATACGTACACACATATGTACATAGGGATGGCTAGATAGAGAGAGATAGAGGGAGGAGAGATAGGGAGAGAAGGGAGAATAGATAGATAGATAGATAGATAGATAGATAGATAGATAGATAGATAGATAGGGATGGATAGAAAGAGAGATAAGGATAGATAAATAGGTAGAGGGGAGAGAGAGAAGGATAGACGGATGGACAGAGAGAAAGAGATAAGGATAGATAGACTGATAGATAGAGAGAGGGGGGATAGACTGATAGAGTGTGTAAATAGAAAGATACAGATAGAGAGAGGGAGAGATAGATGGATAGACAGACAGATTGGGATAAATAGAGGTAGATACATACATACATACACCAATATGTACATAGGGATGGCTAGAGAGAGGGAGAGAGAGGGGGGTGATAGATAGGGATAGATAGGGAGAGGGGAGAATAGATAGATAGATAGATAGATAGATAGATAGATAGATAGATAGATAGATAGATAGACAGATAGATGGATAGATAGATATGGCTAGACAGATAAGGATAGATAAATAGGTAGAGAGGGGGAGAGAGAGAAGGATAGATAGATGGATAGAGAGAAAGAGATAAGGATAGATAGACTGATAGATAGATAGTGAGAGGGGGGATAGATAGATTGATAGAGAGAGAGTAGGTAGATAGATAGCTAGATAGCTAGATAGCTGATATAGAGAGAGGGAGAGATGGATGGATAGACAGATAGATTGGGATAAATAGATGAAATTGCGCTGATTCGGTCGGGATTCGACGCCACTTTAAATGCAGTCTCTGAGGATGTAACGAGAGCATCTGCTTGTCCGGTTTTATTGGATTCATTTCAATTGGTTCAGCTTGAGGATGTGGACAGGATCCTTGGAGAGGTGCGACCCACCACATGCATCCTAGACCCCTGCCCATCCTGGCTGATAAAGGAAGCCAGAGGGGGTTTGGCAGAGTGGGTGAAGGTGGTGGTTAATGCCTCCCTTTGGGAGGGCAAAATTCCAGCGAGCCTAAAACAAGCTGTCATAAAACCGCTGTTGAAAAAACCATCACTGGATCCCACTCAATTAGACAACTATCGGCCAGTTTCCAATCTTCCCTACTTGGGCAAAGTCATGGAACGTGTGGTGGCAACACAACTCCAGGGATTTCTGGTAGACACTGATTATCTAGATCCGGCACAGTCTGGCTTTAGGCCGGGACATGGAACTGAGACAGCCTTGGTCGCCTTGGTAGATGATCTTCGCCGGGAGCTTGACAGGGGGAGTGTGTCCCTGTTAGTTCTGCTGGACCTCTCAGCGGCCTTCGATACCATCGATCACGGTATCCTTCTGGGACGCCTCACAGATATGGGACTTGGGGGTACTGCCTGGCAGTGGCTCCGGTCCTTTCTTGAGGGACGGTCCCAAAAGGTGTTACTGGGTGACACCTGTTCGGCCCCACAGCCGTTGTCATGTGGACTCCCTCAGGGTTCAATTCTGTCCCCAATGTTGTTTAACATCTACATGAAGCCACTGGGGGAGATCATTCGGAGTTTCGGACTGAAATGTTATCTCTATGCAGATGATGTTCAGATCTGTCACTCCTTCTCACCTGTCACCAAAGAGGCTGTCCAGACCTTGAATCGGTGTCTAGCTGCTGTGACGGACTGGATGAGAGCTAACAGATTGAAACTGAATCCAGACAAGACAGAGGTCCTACTGGTCAGTCGTAAGGCCGAACAGGGTATAGGGTTACAGCCTGTACTGGATGGGGTACACTCCCCCTGAAGACGCAGGTTCGCAGCTTGGGAGTGATCCTGGACTCATCGCTGAGCCTGGAACCCCAGGTCTCAGCGGTGGCCAGGAGAGCTTTTGCGCAATTAAAACTTGTGCACCAGTTGCGCCCGTACCTTGGGAAGTCTGATCTGGCCACAGTGGTCCACGCTCTTGTTACATCCCGTATAGACTACTGCAACGCACTCTACGTGGGGTTGCCCTTGAAGACTGTTCGGAAACTTCAACTGGTACAACGAGCGGCAGCCAGATTGATTACTGGAGCGACATACAGGGAACACACCACTCCCTTGTTGTGTCAGCTCCACTGGCTGCCGATTCAGTTCCGAGCACAATTCAAGGTGCTGGTTTTGACCTACAAAACCCTTTACGGTTCCGGTCCAGCGTATCTGTCCGAACGTATCTCCCTCTACGTCCCACCCCGGAATTTGAGATCATCTGGGGAGGCCCTGCTCTCGACCCCACCGCTATCACAAGTGAGGCTGGGGGGGACGAGGAGCAGGGCCTTCTCAGTGGTGGCCCCTCACCTGTGGAACTCACTCCCGGGGGAAATCAGGGCATCTACATCCCTCCTTGCCTTCAGGAGGAAGGTAAAGACGTGGCTATGGGACCAGGCCTTTGGACACCCTGACAGTTAGATATAGAAACCAGATGGATAGGACCGATAATATTGTAGTAGAACCTAAACTATGAGTCTGTTAAACGCTGACCAGGAATGAGGTTTGTATTGCTTTTATTGTTTTATTGCTTTTACAGGTTTTATGGTTGTTTTGATAATAATTTATTGCTGATGTTAATTGTTATCACTGCTATAATTGCTGTCATTAACTGATGTTGTGTTTTTGTTGTCATGTAATGCGGGCATTGAACTGTGCCTTGCTTGTGTAAGCCGCCCTGAGTCCCCCCCCCCCCCCGGGGTGAGAAGGGCGGGGTATAAGCGACCGTAATAATAATAATAGAGGTAGATACATACATACATACATACATACATACATACATACATAGGGATGGCTAGATAGAGAGAGATAGAGGGAGGGAGAGATAGGGCTAGATAGGGAGAGTGGGGAGAATAGATAGATAGATAGATAGATAGATAGATAGATAGATCATCCAAAAAGGACTGGTAGGAACATAAAAAAGTTGTCCAGGTGGTGAATCTCATGAAATTTTAGGATTCACACTGATAAACAATGAAAACATAACTGTATGTAAGAAAAAAGAGAATTTGGATCACACATTTGGTGAATAGTATTGGAGACAAAAATTTAAAACTAGATCAGTTCCATCCTAGGGAGACGTTCTCAAAAGTCTCTGATTGTATTGAAGATGTGCTGTATGCTAGTTTTAAAAAGAAGGAATGGATAAAAAGAAATCCCCACGGGGGGGGGGGGATCATGGGGTCACCTGAGGTCGAGAGGACACTTGAAGGTAAACAACACTGCAGTATCCTCAGCAATAACAACAACATCCACCTGGGACTATTGTTCTCTAATCTCCATGGAGGGCCAGCCCAACCCATGACCTACCGCAAAGTCTTCCCGGCTGTCACTCCTCAACGGCAACGAGCTGGACACCCAGCGAGATGCGAGGCTCCTCCGGCGAGGCTCTTCCCAAAGGCCCACACCTGCAAGGCGGGAAGCACAGGTGAGAACAGGACATAAACATAAGGAAGGGAGGGGCCTTGGGAGAGCTTTCATTGGCATTCCCTTTCTTTCCTTTCCGCTCTCCATCTCTCTCCAAAACAGAGGCAATCCTCCCCACTCCATTCTTGTTCCTTCCAAAACAGAAGGAGGAAGGTAGGGAGAAAGGAAGGAAGGAAGGAAATAAAAGTAGGGAAAAGGAGAGAGAAGGAGAAAGGGAAGGAAGAAAGGTAGCTAGGAAACAGAGAGAGAAAAATTCAGAGAGTGTGGTGTCCTGGTTTGAAAACATTGGGCAGTGGCTCTGAACCTTTGATCACATCACCCTGGGGGGCGGAAACTGTTTACATTCCAGATTCTATACAGCAAACATCCATCCCAGCCTTTCTCACTGTGTCTTATCTGATGGCAACAGGAAAAACCGGATTAAGTAATCACTATTTATTGCCCACCCATCTAAGGACAATAGACTGGGCATCCTTTGCAGGCTGCTTTTTGTGAACTCAGGATCCCCGAGGCATGAAATCCATTTAATCCATTCATACACTCATTGTTTCTACTTCGTCCCGCCTCCCCTCTCCTGATTTGCCAGAGCRCTGAGGTGGTATGAGTTCTCCCATTGGTTCCTGCACAGCGGAGGAGCTCTGCGATTGGCTCTGAYGCAGGACAGGTGGCCGAGCCTCCTCCCAGCTGTTATCACGTCAGCCAATCACCTGCGAGCCAGGCGGAGGGCGGAGGGCGGGGATTTTGAAACTTCTAAGCCTGTAAACCCTATAAGAATGTCTCTGATCTTTGTACTGGCATGCTTTGTAGGCGAATGATTGCTACATTGCATCCTTTTCAGCTGAATCGCTAATAAACACCTCGGTGCCACTTCAACTTTGGTGAGATTTATTTTGAATTATTTTAATTTAATAAAATTGCTGAAATTAGGCTTCTTTAGCTCGCCAAAGTAGCGATCCCTCTTTAGTGGGGTCTCAGGGTCCCTCCTTCTGGGGACGACCCCACTAAAGTTCCTATCGGCTTCACTTCCATGCCAAGCTGGGCTTATCGTAAGATTAATGATGTAGCCTTGCCATCAAAAGGCTTCTTCGTACCAGGAAGGACTTATCTTAAGATGGATGGAAGTTCTTGCTATCAGTAGACACTCTGGCACTATGGGGTACAGGATGGTCCTCTAATAGCAACTCTTTAGATAAAGGTTCTTAATGGAAGATTAAAGGTGTTGAAGTTAAAAATATGCTATTAAAGACAATGTAAAAGTGGAATTTTGTGACACACATTGTGATGCTTGTATGGTGTATGCATATTATTTTAAAGGGTATATAAACCAAGACATTTCCTTTGTTCACCACCCTGTTTCCTGGAATACCAGCAGGGTCCATATCCGGTTGGCACCAACCGAGAATAAACCGTACTTTTGCAGACCTCGAGAACTCTCATTTGTCTCTTTTCCTCAAACCATCTCCCTGCCATTTCTTCAGTGCAATTTGCTGGCCAACTTGCTTCTTGTCATCCATTCAACTGACTTCAGACACAGTTGTTTCTGCTTCAGTAGCGGCTCTTATCTTTATTTACATTTCATTCATTGCAATAACACTTAACTCGTTAGTGCAGTCAGATGCGAGGGAGAAGAGCCAAGAGAAAGAACAAAATGGTGTATGCTCTATTTATATCCCGCTGTTATCAGCTCATTGATTCAGTGTCCAGCCTCCTAATCTATTGCAACATCCACAAATTACACAGCTACCAACATGGACATTTTAAACTTGTACAATATATATTGACATAACACTGATAAAATCTTGATCAGAAAACTCTGTGAGAGTGTTGCCTTCAGGGCTCCCTAAGTCTGAAACAACTTGATGGTAAGCAACAGCAACAACAACAACAACAACAACAACAAAAAACGTGATGGGTCCACATAGGCAATAGATAGCTTTAACAACAACAACCAACGAACAACCAACAACAACAACAAAAACAAACTATAGTCTCCGACCCTCAACAGTCTGAGAGGCTTGGTGTTCTGGGGACTTTCAATGGCATCACAATTGCACAACAACAACAACAAACTATAGTCTCAGACCCTCAACAGTCTGAGAGACCTGGTGTTCTGGGGACTTTCAATGGCATCACAATTGCACAACAACAACAAACTATAGTCTCAGACCCTCAACAGTCTGAGAGACCTGGTGTTCTGGGGACTTTCAATGGCATCACAATTGCACAACAACAACAAACTATAGTCTCAGACCCTCAACAGTCTGAGAGACCTGGTGTTCTGGGGACTTTCAATGGCATCACAATTGCACAACAACAACAAACTATAGTCTCAGACCCTCAACAGTCTGAGAGACCTGGTGTTCTGGGGACTTTCAATGGCATCACAATTGCACAACAACAACAAACTATAGTCTCAGACCCTCAACAGTCTGAGAGACCTGGTGTTCTGGGGACTTTCAATGGCATCACAATTGCACAACAACAACAAACTATAGTCTCAGACCCTCAACAGTCTGAGAGACCTGGTGTTCTGGGGACTTTCAATGGCATCACAATTGCACAACAACAACAAACTATAGTCTCAGACCCTCAACAGTCTGAGAGACCTGGTGTTCTGGGGACTTTCAATGGCATCACAATTGCACAACAACAACAAACTATAGTCTCAGATCCTCAACAGTCTGAGAGACCTGGTGTTCTGGGGACTTTCAATGGCATCACAATAACATTCAGATCAAGAGCTTTTCTATTACGCATCAGCAGTCGCGCAATGGCATTTTGCACAAACTTGGCTTCCGAGTCTCCTTCAAGGGCAATCCCACACCAAGCGCATTACAGCGTAGGCTTCCCTTGGTTTTCAATGATTCACTAGATCGACAGATCTAAATTACAGCCATGCACTATGCTTTCGCCTCCCTGGTTTGTTCAATCGACCATGCGCTGCGTCTTGTTTCTAATCTCAGTTGACTTGGTGCCATCTAGTCTATTGCTGCTATATTTTGATCATTGTGCCATGTGTTTCGGTGAGATGTATTTGATATTGATGTGTTTTGACTATTATTATTATTATCATCGGAAATGCAACATGCATGCATGGGCCAACTTTGGCCCTCCAGGTGTTTTGTACTGCAACTCCCACCATTCCTAACAGCCTCAGGCCCTTTTTTGCGGCTGAGGGGCAAAAGGAAAGGGCCTGAGGCTGTTAGGCATGATGGGAGTTGCAGTCCAAAACACCTGGAGGGCCAAAGTTGGCCCACACCTGTTATAATAGGACATCATGTTGCAGAATATCTTGCTCTAGATTTGCAATGAACATCTCATCTAGTCTCAACCAATGCAACATAGTTTGTGTCAAATGTCGTACTATGTTGTTGTTGTTGTTGTTGTTATCAAACTTTGGCCCCAAAATGAGAGCTTCCCCCTTTGGGTGCATGGAGTTTGCAATGAATGTCTCATCTAGTCTCAACCAATGCAACATAGTTTGTGTCAAATGTCGTATTATGTTGTTGTTGTTGTTGTTGTCAAACTTTGGCCCCAACATGAGAGATTCCCCCTTTGGGCACATGATGTTTGCAATGAACATCTCATCTAGTCCCTACCAATGCAACATAGTTTGTGTCAAATGTCGTATTATGTTGTTGTTGTTGTTGTTGTTGTTATGAAACTTTGGCCCCAAAATGAGAGCTTCCCCCTTTGGGTGCATGGAATTTGCAATGAACATCTCATCTAGTTTTAACCAATGCAACATAGTTTGTGTCAAATGTCGTACTATGTTGTTGTTGTTGTTGTTGTTGTCAAACTTTGGCCCCAACATGAGAGATTCCCCCTTTGGGCACATGATGTTTGCAATGAACATCTCATCTAGTCCCTACCAATGCAACATAGTTTGTGTCAAATGTCGTATTATGTTGTTGTTGTTGTTGTTGTTGTTATGAAACTTTGGCCCCAAAATGAGAGCTTCCCCCTTTGGGTGCATGGAATTTGCAATGAACATCTCATCTAGTTTTAACCAATGCAACATAGTTTGTGTCAAATGTCGTACTATGTTGTTGTTGTTGTTGTTGTTGTCAAACTTTGGCCCCAACATGAGAGATTCCCCCTTTGGGCACATGATGTTTGCAATGAACATCTCATCTAGTCCCTACCAATGCAACATAGTTTGTGTCAAATGTCGTATTATGTTGTTGTTGTTGTTGTTGTTGTTGTTGTTATGAAACTTTGGCCCCAAAATGAGAGCTTCCCCCTTTGGGTGCATGGAATTTGCAATGAACATCTCATCTAGTTTTAACCAATGCAACATAGTTTGTGTCAAATGTCGTACTATGTTGTTGTTGTTGTTGTTGTTGTCAAACTTTGGCCCCAACATGAGAGATTTCCCCTTTGGGCGCATGGCGTTTGCAATGAACGTCTCATCTAGTCTCAACCAATGCAACAAAGTTTGTGTCAAATGTTCTATTATGTTGTTGTTGTTGTTGTTGTTGTTGTTATCAAACTTTGACCCCAAAATGAGAGCTTCCCCCAATGAACATCTCATCTAGTCTCAACCAATGCAACGTAGTTTGTGTCAAATGTCGTATTTTGTTGTTGTTGTTGTTATTGTTGTTATCAAACTTTGGCCCCAAAATGAGAGCTTCCCCCTTTGGGCACCTGCTCTTTGCACTTACCTGTTGTGACGGCCCGAGTGGCGCCACCTGTGTGTAGAACTTTAAAGTGCAAAGGTTTAAACTATATAACATGCCCATACTTGCTTAGTTTGTAAATGATTGGTTATTTATAGCTGTCAATCAATGTTGTTTGCACCAGTTATATTGCTTCTTCAGCTCAATGGGTTGGCTCCACCTCTTTCTGGAGGAGGGCAGAGCTTTTCCTTTTCCATTCTACCATCAAACTTTCTATCAGATAGACGTGAGAAAGAGACTTGGCTCTAAAGCCCTTAATTAAGTTACCTCTCATCACCAATTCTAAGGTTTTTACCCTTGGGACTCATACTTCATGCCCAGATTGCCCTGGACAACGTTGATGAGACCCAAGCGCCTTTGGCATCAAAAGGAAGACTTTGTGCCTTCAACATAGGCCATTAGAATTGGGGTTGTGATTATTCCGATATTCACAGCCATTGAGAAAAGAGGGAACAGGAAAAGCTTCTCAGCTGCAAAATCTCCTTGGACCCAAGACAACCAGAGACTGTAATGTATATTTCCTTTACCCCTTTGAAACTTCCAGCTTATTGCCTTAAAGGGATAACTCTTTGTGAACAATAAAACCTATTTTGAGTTATCTACAGTGTTTTGGTCCTTGGGAGTTCCAGTTCTTTAAAGGAAGGCAAGAAGCAATCCCCTGGGGGAAAAGAGGTCACGTCTATGTCTCTTTCACTAAGAGTTATAGCCCCCAGGCGCGACGGCATACCGGTAGTGGCGCTGAAGTAGGAAGAGTCCTCTTCGTCGTGCGACGTGGAACCTCCGACATCCACGGAAGGGTCCCACTCCAAATCCATCATCCCCCCTTCATGTGCAGAGGCCCTTTTGCAAGGCAGGAGGGCTTTCTTTGGGGTGGATTGGCAATGGAGGCCTATAGGTTGCCCGGCATCCTCTCTGTCCAATTGCAAGGAGCCTTCGGAGAAGTCGCTGTCACGGTCCGACAGCCATTCGTCCTCAAAGACCTGGGAACATATCAGGCAAAAACCTGTTAGTGAAGTCGAACATGATCTCCCCGCCCCCCATAAAAGATAGTAACTTATAGTTTTGCTAAGGACAAGAACACCAGACTGGATAATAAGGGTTAAGCCTTGGTCAATTTGCCAAGACACTAACAACAACAACAAGGACCCTTCCCATGTTAGATGATGTGTACATTTAATCAAGGTTTTATGCCCTATGTTTCATATACAGCAGAAGGTAGCACATTTATTATTGAGAAACCACCTCCCTTTACACTTATGTGCTCTCTTGAACTTCTGTGGGACTGGTGGGAGGGATAAGTGGGTATATTTTCTGCACCATGATTTCTATATTTCTCCCTGTATATCTGACCTTTACCTGACCTTTCTGCCCTATCCCCTTTTTAAAAATGTATTAAAATGTAAGAAGCCACTCTCTGTGACCCTGGAAAGAAGGAAATCCTCAGTTGAAAAGAACCTTATCAAAAGACACTATTTGCATGGGTGATAACAATGGCTCATGACCTCTGGGACTCGGAGTTGGCCCCCCCAGGCAGAGGCGGTCACTTGGCATTGATGATCATATCTCAATAGGACAAAAGCCACACTTTGTCCTGATCTGTTACTCATTTAAATCTTCCTCCACCGAAACTTCAGCCAGATTTCCTCATAGTTCCCATATCTCAGCACCAAGAAAATCCTGATCTGGCAGGCTTGCCAGACATCAACATTTATTGCCACTAATCAATTACAATAGGAGGGTCGGCTTGCAGGCTCCTGGGACTCGCTGGCCGCCTGGACATTTCATATCTCCATAATCCACTCAAGAATGCATTGTTTCCCCCTCATCCCGCCTCCCTCTTTCCTGATTGGTCGGGAAGCCCAGGTGGCAGAAGCTCAGCAATTGGCCCAGGCACTCAGGAGGCGGCCAAGCCTCCTCCCAGCTGTAGAGCGCCAGCCAATCATCGTCGAGCTGGCAGAGGGGCGGGGAGCGGGAAATTCAAACCAGACAGTTCTGTTTTATGTATAAAAAGGTCTTTATTTGTGTACACTGTATGCTTTGCTTGGCGAATTATTGCTGCTTTGCATCCTTCCCAGCTGGATCGCAATAAAATCAACTCAGCGCTTCCTTCAACTTAGGTGAGATTCTTTTGGAAACTTAGGGAAATCTTTCAAATTGCAGCTTCTCTTTGCTCACCATTGTAGCGAGCCCTCTATAGTGGGTCCACAGGGTCTCTCCTTCAGGGCAAGACCCTTTTAAATTCCTCCTCGACTTCATTAGCAATATGCATGCATTTATGCAATGGCAACTTATGCTTTCCAAAGTCTCATTTTGGATGGGATGCAGATGGCTATTTGCCAGTGGGCTTGACAAAGTGGACTATAAATAAACATAACCATAAAACAACAACAACAACTTGCAACTCTAAATCTATGCATGCAATTGCAACATATGCTTCCCAAAGTCCCATTTCGGATGGGGTGCAGATGGCTATTTGCTACTGGGCTTGACAAAGTGGACTATAAATAAACATAACCATAAAAACAACAACAACAACAAGTAGCAACTCTAGACAAGCTAAAGAAAGGCAACCAAAATGATCATAGTTTTGCAAGCCAAGTTTACTTGGAGAAAAGAAAGCTGAGATGCGATACAATAGCCATGCTTCAATATCACTATGGAACATGATGGTTGGAAGGGACTCTTATTTCTAACTCTAGGATTCTATGATTCAACAGAGGCTGGATGGCCATCTGTCAGGAGGGATTGGATTGTGCCTCCCTGTGTGGCAAAAGGGGGTTGGACTAGATGGCCCTTGGGGGTCTCTTTGAAATCCAGGATTCTATTATTGTTATTGCCTCACCCACCAGTATCTGCCTTTGACGTACCAGCCTCATGCTGACCAGTCTCCGTCGGAAGCGGAAGACCCTGCGGAAGACCTCCTGGCAGAAGCAGCTCAGGTCCTGCAGCTCCTCTTCCAAGATCTCAGCGTCTTCCGGGTGGCTCTTCTGGATCAGGCGCTCCCCGTGCACCAGAAAGTGGTCCACGCGCTCCGCATTGGCCTGCACATCTTCCTGGAAGGCCTACAAGAGGAGTCCTCAAACTTTGAAAGCCGCAGAGCCCTTTGGGAAGCATACGTTTCTCATGCAGCCCCAAGAAATGTCCATATATTATATACATCTATATAAATAAACATGTAATGTTAGTTTGTGGGATAAACAAAACTCAAAAACCACTGGACAAATTGACACGAAATTTGGACACAAGACAACTAACAGTCCAACGAGTGTCCATCACCCCTAAACACACACACACACAAAACCCCAGCGGAATAGACTTAAAATATGCCATATATACATATACACATACACACATTCTTACACACACATGCATATACATACACACATATATACATATACACATGCACACACAAATATACATATATACATACATATACACATGCACACACATATACATATACTATATAACCATAAAAACAACAATAACAACAACTAGCAACTCTAAATCCATGCATGCAATATGCATAAACACACAAATACACAATATATACACACACACATATATATACATACATGTATACACCCATATATACACGCAAACACACATATACACACAAAACCCCAGTGGAATAGACTTAAAACCCCCAAAAATACGCCATATATACAGATACACATACACTCATATACACATACATATGCACACATTCTTACACACACATATACATATACACATGCACACACAAATCTACATATATACATACATATATATACACATGCACACACATATACATATACAAATACATACACATATATACACACAAATATACATATAGACAAGCACACTTATACACAATATGCATGTATGCATAAACACAAAAATGCACACTGTATCCACACACATATATATACACACACATGTATACACCCATATATACACGTAAACACACATATACACACAAAAATATACACACACATAAACACATATATACAGACAGGGCCACAGCAACGCATGGCAGGGGACAACTAGTATATACATATACATACATATACATATATTATGTACCAACCACACATTGCTGTGGCCAACTTTCCCTCCCTCTTTCCCTTCTTCTTTCTTTCTTTCTTTCTTTCTTTCTCTCCTTCCTTCCTTCCTTACCTTCCTTCCCTCTTTCTTTCTTTCTTCCCTCCCTCCCTCCCTCCCTCCCTTCCTTCCTTCCTCCTTTCCGTGTATATGTGTTTTGTGTGTGTGTGTGTGTATATATATATATATTTCTGTATATGTGTATATATGTGTGTTTGCATGGATATATGTGGTTTTGTGCATGCATTGTAATTATTTTTTTTAATTTATTGGCTTTTTAAGTCTCATCTGCTGTGTTTTTCAGTGTTTTTATGAGTGATGGTCACTCGTTGGCCTGAGAGGTGTCTTGTGTCCAAATTTGGTGTCAATTCGTCCAGTGGTTTTTGAGTTATGTTAATCCCACAAACAAACATTACATTTTTATTTATATAGATAGCATCCCTACTTCTGCGGATTTTCACTTTTCGCGGGTGGTCCTGGAACGTAATACCCGAGGTAAGTGAGGGAACACTGGATCTATGAGACGCTAATGGGATGTTTTATTGATTTATATTGACTGTTTATTATGCTACTGTTTTAATTGTTTTTAACTGTTTTATGATGTTTTTGAGCATTGAATTTTGCTATTGTTAACTGCTCTGAGTCGCCCGAGGGCTGAGAAGAGTGGTATAGAAATATAGTATAGTATATAGTATGTAGTGTATGGTATAGTATAGTAAAGTTTAGTATAGTAAATAAATAAATAGTGTCCAAATTTGGTGTCAATTCGTCCAGTGGTTTCTGAGATATGTTAATCCCACAAATTAGCATTCAATTCCATGCCTATTCTTCCAGGCAGGAAAGGCACAATCAAAGCATCCCCAACAGATGGCCATCTAGCCAAGATATCGGCAAACTTGGGCTCTCCAGGTGCGTTGGACTTGAACTCCCACCATTCCTAACAGCCTCAGGCCCTTTCCTTTCCCCCCTCAGCGGCTTAAGCCTGAGGTTGTTAGGAATGGTGGGAGTTGAAGTCCAACACACCTGGAGGGCCCAAGTTGGCCCATGCCTGGGATAGAAGTTGAATGCATGAGCAAATAAACAGCTGCAAGAAAAGCTCTGGTTTTGCACATTGTGATCGGCAGGAAGAATCTGGCAACACCTATGCATAGCTTCCAGGTGTGGGCAAACAAGCCGCTCAATAAGCAGGATCCGTGTGTGGTCCACCCAAAACCCAATTTTCCTACAGATACCATCTCCTTTTTTTGGAAAAACCCAAAGGCGAAAAGGCGGAGGAGGATAACAACAAGCTTTCTCGGAAGCGACGGATCTCCTAGCATTTTGCAAAGTCCACCAATGCAACTATAGGAGAATTTATGATGGTTTCCCAGATTATTTGACCTCAAAAGGTTGAGGACTCTTTGAGTCCAGTGTGAATATGGGATCTGTAGTTACAGTAGTGTACATGCGGAAGCGTGCTGGGCCCATAACCGATTGTCAGAGCTTGGGTGGTACGCAGCGGAAGGTTTGCTAGATCAACAGACACAGTACTCCAAAAATCAGGACTCTGCAGACTTACAGTTGCAAAAGAAACTAAGTTTTACTAAGTACATATAAGACACGTCTTCACACAGCGAGCTACAATCAGGAACTACACAACAGTCTCTGAACATCTGCTTATCTGACTTCTGGCTGAGACCAGATCCTCCCTCTTCTTCCCAGCCAAAGAACACGTTATCTCATTTCTGTCAAGGTTAAATTTTCTCTGCCTCAGCCAGCACTTTTAATACACAAAAGAGCAGAATAGAATCCATCTTGAAATACATAGAAACACATTGAAAAACACACATGCATAACTAAATAATCCTGACACATGTTTTACCTGCAGCTGGATCATTTTTTCCAAGGATGTGCCGCCCGAAAAATGCTCCACGTCGGTGAGGCGGAGGTCCAGCTCCATCAGCCACAGCCGGAGGGTCTCGCGCTCCGATTCGAACTCTTCCCGTTGCTTCACAACATGCTGAAAGAGGAGAATGAGAGAAGCAGAAGGACCTTAGGTTGCTTTTGCCTTAGGCTCCTTCTACACTGACATATAATCCAGATTATCAAAGCAGATAATCCACATGATTGGATTGAACGAGTTTACACCGCCGTGTACTATTACTATTAAAAATAGCAGTCCAAGTAGGGGTCAAACAAAATTCATGCCACAGTGTAGGTGCATCTAATGCGTGCAAGTCTCCTCACCTTCAGCCTCTTGGAGACGACTGCGGACCAAACCTTCAAAGCATCCCAACGCCGGTTGACATCTTGAACCCGGGACTTGATTTCAGGGCAAACACCGCCTCTCCGCACCAGCCGACAGTATTGTCGGTTCAAGGCTTCCAAAGGCAACAGCTTGTCGGAGACCTGTCTTTGCAGCGCCTTGGAGAAGAGGGAATTCATTACCATAGTTTTTCATTCATATCAATGATGCTGTATCCGCCCCAGACCCCTGCTTTCCAGCTGATCTGACCAGCTGCAGGGAGTTCCGCAGTTCCTGAATGCCCCATTGGGCCAACTCTGATGAGCAGCCTCAACCAGGGACTCTTTGCAACATTTTCTTCTCTCCCCAGCCCAAACATTGTAAGAAAACCCCTAATAAAGACTAATTTAATTGTAACCTTCACCTCTTCATAGTGATATATTGTGTCTATTTCCTGACTCACAAGTATCTAATGCATTAATTTACCCTTTTCTGGGCATGATGCCTTCCAGGAGTCCCAGGGAGGCCGAATCTGCGTTTCTTTAAACCGCGGATACGGAAACCCCTCAGGGACCCGTATCCGCGAATTAACCAAACGACTCCATTTTGGTGCCATATTTTTCCTAGCTAAATTCTAACTCTATCTGCTATCTCACTTTTTGCATTTTGGGCTCCTGCACTCTGGGAATAACCTTTTTATTTTTGAGAATATATCTTAAAGAAAAACAGCTGATTGTCAAACTGAGCCCTTTGCTGCTGTGCTGCTCCCGCCGTCGCTTCTTCATCCTTCTGGAGCCCCAGGACCCAGGGAGTTGATGTGGTCATCCCATGAGACCTTTGGGGAGTGGATCTGCCACCTGGTTCCAGCCCTTGGAGGGAGTTATAGTTCTCCAAGGACCAAAGGACAAGCTTCAGCCCCAGTGATGCAGAGCTCCATATCTTGGCTCAGTGGAATCGCTAAGCCTCTCCTTGTGATTTTTTGAACCTTTTATGCCCCATATCAAGGACTTTTCTCCCCTTTATGGACATACTTTCGTCTACGGACTTTTGTCTAATGAACTAAGGACATATATTGAGCCATGATCAAGGCTCTTATCAATTTCTCTACGGGACACTGGGGGGAGGGATAAGTGGATGTGTTTTATATATCATGATTTCTATATTTCTATATTTCTCCCTGTGTATTATTTGTTTTTTTGGGCTTTATGGCCATGTTCTAGAAGCATTCTCTCCTGACGTTTTGCCCACATCTATGGCAGGCATCCTCAGAGGTTGTGAGGTCTGTTGGAAACTAGGAAAATGGGATTTATATATCCATGGAATAGTGTCTGTTGGAGGTAGGTGTGAATGTTTCAGTTGGCTACCTTGATTAGCATTTGATGTCCTGTGAGTTTTTAGGTGTGGCTTGTTACTGCCTGGGAGAATCTTTTGTTGAGACGTGATTAGGTGTTCCTGATTGTTTCTTGTCTGGAGTTCCCCTGTGTTGGAGTTTAGGTCAACAGAAAGGAAGAAACCTGGAAACCATGAAAATGAACAAAATCTGGCTACCAGTATTAAAAAAAACTCTAAAAAATTATAACGGTAAATAAAAAACAAAACTCAAACTTAGGGGAACTCCAGACAAGAAACATTCAGGAACACCTAATCACCTCTCAAGAAAGGAATATCCCAGGCAGTAACAAGCCACACCTAAAAACTGTCAGGCCATCAAATGCTAATCAAGGTAAACAGTAAATAAAGAACTAAGAGCGTCGGATAAGACGGAATGTCGGATAGGTGAAGGTCGGATAAGTGAGACTCTACTGTATACAATATAGGTAAATGTTTTCCCCCTGACATGAAGTCCAGTCGTGTCTGACTCTGGGAGTTGGTGCTCATATCCATTTCGAAGCCGAAGAGCAGGCATTATCCATGGACACCTCCAAGGTCATGTGGTCAGCATGACTGCATGGTGCGCCGTTACCTTCCCAGTGGAGCGGTACCTATTGATCTACTCACATTTGCATGTTTTCGAACTGCTAGGTTGGCTGAAGCTGGGGCTTACAGAGGGAGCTCACTATTATAGAATGAATTATACACTATTATAGAATGAATTATACACTATTATAGAATGAATTATACACTATTTTATACACTATTATACACTATTATAAAATGAATTATACACTATTATACACTATTAAAGAATGAATTATATTGGACTATCCTTGGCATTCAATAGGAAGATATACGGTTTTGCTATCACAAGTAGAAGCCAAAAATCATTGCCGGTGGATTGCATACCGCCAAAAAGTTAAGAAATCACCCAAACGGTTGCAACTTTCTTGGATAGCACACAAAAGTTCCTTTTGGCTTACAAGTAGAGTACCTCAAGAGCGCCCCCCGGGGAGGTGCGCCCTAAGCAAAAGCGTAATTGGCGTATTGCTTGAGCCGCCCCGATTGCAACTCCTAACCATATCCTTCTATGTCGGGGAGTTCAGCATACTATAATCCCCTCCAAAAAAAAAAAGAGTAACTTTCCTCATTGTTTTCTTGGCAACTTGGAAGAGGGACAGCAAACTGTCTTTATTAAGTCATGATGTAAGCCTTGGAGCAATTCAACCGTCTTTGGCTGGGAGTCAAGAGCAATTTCAACGTCTCCGAGCAAAGCCTATCCCATCTTGCCATGATTTGTTTTCCTCCCTCCAAAAGGTGAGCAGGGTTTGCAAGGTGGAAAATTCACCCCAGAAATATGTGTCAATGGAAGGAGAACAAAGCCGTATTCTCTTTCTTCTTCCTCAATGCCTCGCTTGTTCGCTCCCTGTGATTCTTGGCCCCGGAGATAAAACGACCGCGATCCCAGGCTATCAAATGCTTCTCCTTTTTTTTTCTACCAGGAAAGTTTAGCAAAAGGCGGCTCCAAATCACAATCAATGACCTGCTTTGGGAAGAAGGTGGTTTCTTCTTACCTCGAACCTTTGGAGCTCTTTCTTGGAACGGGCGAAAGAGACCTGGGAAGACGCCGGGGACGAGGCCACCGCTTCGGCTAAGCGCAGCCAGTCCTGGAATTGGAAAACCATGTCTTGGAGGGTCTTCTGGAGCTGCCATGCTTGGTCCTGCCTGGTTTGGGAACGAAGGATTCATCAAAGGATGAAAGAACCATAACCAAAGATAACTACTCTATTTACTGGAATCTTAGAAAAGAGAAAATGTGGTCTACATCTTCTCAACCTCTGTAGAGGGATTCAGACCGGCTAACAGCAAGGATTAAATTCTACAGTACAGTCTAAAACAGCGGTTCTCAACCTGGGGGTCGCGACCCCCGGGAGGGTTGTTGGGCCATTTTCGGGAGGTCGCGAAGGTGCCTTAGATGGCCCCGCCCCCTCCTAAATGGCTGCCGACCCTCTGTGCCAGCTAAAAAGCTAGCACTCTTGATCAGCTCCTCCTCCTGCGCTTCCCACAGGGCTGTGTGGTGCCAAGAGGAGGAGCTTGCAGGAAAAGGCGCGCGCGGGAAGAAAGTTCACCTTGCCGTTAGAGCAGGGCGCGGGGGCCAAGCGGAGGGCTGCCCTCACGGCGCTGCCATTTGGGCAGCCTTTCTGCCCCACCCCCGCGCCTTCCCCAGCTGGAAAGGGCGCAGGGGTCAGGTGGAGGGCTGCCCTCACGGCGCTGCCGTTTCCAGTAACTGCAACTCCCAAATGTCAAGATCTGTTTTCCCCAAACTCCACCAGTGTTCAAATTTGGACATATTGAATATTGTCGAAGGCTTTCATGCTGGAATCACTAGGTTCTTGTGGGTTTTTTCGGGCTATAGAGCCATGTTCTAGAGGCATTTCTCCTGACGTTTCGCCTGCATCTATGGCAAGCATCCTCAGAGGTAGTGAGGTCTGTTGGAATTAGGACAATGGGTTTATATCTCTGTGGAATGGCTGGGGTGGGGCAAGGAGCTCTTCCCTGCTGCAGTTAGGTGTGAATGTTTCAGCTGATCACCTTCATTAGCATTTGAAGGCCTGCCTGAGCCTGGGAAAATCTCTTGCTGGAGGTGTTAATCTGTGCCTGGTTGTTTCCTCTCTGTTGTTTTGCTGTTGTAATTTTAGAGTTTTTTAATACTGGTAGCCAGATTTTGTTCATTTTCATGGTCTCTTCCTTTCTGTTGAAATTGTCCACATGCTTGTGGATTTCAATTGCTTCTCTGTGTAGTCTGACATGGTGGTTGTTGGTGTGGTCCAGCATTTCTGTGGACAAGTCTAACATAGGGACCACCAAACGCAGCATTGCCCAAACACGGATCAAGGAACATGAAAGGCACTGCAGACTACTTCAACCAGAGAAGTCAGCCATAGCAGAGCACCTGATGAACCAACCTGGACACAGCATATTATTTGAGAACACAGAAGTGCTGGACCACTCTCACAACCACCATGTCAGACTACACAGAGAAGTCATTGAAATCCACAAGCATGTGGACAATTTCAACAGAAAGGAATAAACCATGAAAATGAACAAAATCTGGCTACATGTATTAAAAAACTCTAAAATTACAACAGCAAAACAACAGAGAGGAAACAAACCAGGCACAGATTAACACCTCCCAGCAAGAGATTTTCCCAGGCTCAGGCAGGCCTTCAAATGCTAATGAAGGTGATCAGCTAAACATTCACACCTAGCTCTAGCAGGGAAGAGCTCCTTGCCCCACCCCAGCCATTCCACAGATATATAACCCCATTGTCCTAATTCCAACAGACCTCACTACCTCTGAGGATGCTTGCCATAGATGCAGGCGAAACGTCAGGAGAAATGCCTCTAGAACATGGCCCTATAGCCCGAAAAAACCCACAAGAACCTAACCACAATGTGCCAAGTTTGGTCCAAATGCACAGTCGTTTGGGTTCACAGTGCTCTCTGTATGTAGGTGAACTACATCTCCTATAAATCATAGTCAATTCCTCCCAATATCCAGTATCTTCTGTTGGTCATCGGGGTTCTGTGTGCCAAGTTTGTTCTAGGTCTATCATTTGTGGGGGTCTCAGTGGTCAGTGGAAGTCAGAGCTGAATCTGTTGAAGGTACTGCAAATCCCATCATCCATTGTCCATACTCCCTGAGCATATTGTTTTTGTGATCAATCACTATGCTTTAATTATGTTAAATTTGTATTAATGAAAATAATCCTGCTTATCAGATATTTCCATTACGCATCATAAGAGTAGCAAAATTACCGTTATGAAGTAGCAACGAAAATATGGTTGGGGATCACCATAACATGAGCAACTTTATTTAATGGTCACGGCATTAGAAAGGTTGAGAACCACTGGTCTAAAACAACATATATCAACAGAAAAATTAAACTACATATAGAATAAAATACATATAAGTCAATTCGCCAACAGTAAAATCATGTCCAAACTCAGTCCACATGCGGTCAATAACTTTGTTCAATTGTCGGGCTTGGGCATTATTCTGGGAAGGCCTCGTTCCATAGCCAGGTTTTCACTGGCTTCCTGAAGGTCAGGAGGGAGGGGGCGAATCTAATCTCATTCGGGAGGGAGTTCCATAGCCGGAGGGGGCCACCACAGAGAAGGCCTTGTCTCTCGTTCCCACCAGACACGATTGCGAAAGTGGTGGGACCGAGAGCAGGGCCCCACCAGACGATCTTGATGGTTCATAGGAGAGAGTATGTTCGGACAGGTAAACCGTAAAGCAGCGTTTCTCAACCTGGGGGTCGCGACCCCTAGAGGGGTCGCCGGGCCATTTCAGAGGGGTCGCGGCCCCATGTCCATTGGCCCCGCCCCCTCCACCAGGCTGCGCAGTGCTGCCTCGGTCGCCTGGCTGTGGCCAGCTTTCGCCGCTTGCCAGGCCGCCCTACGGGCGGCGCCGAACAAGGCAAGGCCTTCCCACCAGGCCCAGGCACAGAATGTCGCGCACCACCCCCTCCACCCGGGTTTTGACCGCCTCTGCGCGGTCCGTCAAGCGCTGCGCAAGAGCACCAGCGCAGGAATAGTAAGCACGCGCTGGCGTAGCTTCTTGAGGGCTGTATCCTTAGCATCGTGCTTGTGACGAGGCCCGATGGGCGACGCGAGCCAGGGGAGGGGCTTCCCGGCAGGCCAGGCCACGCGGTGCTGCTTTCCTCGCCTGGCTTTTGCCGCTTGACAGACCCGACGGGCAGGTTGAGTCAGGCGAGGGAGAAGAAAGGAAGGAAAGGGAGGGAAAAGGAAGGGAAGAAAGAAGGAGAGAAGGAAAGAAAGAGAGAGAAGGGAGGAAGGGAGAAGGAAAGGGGAGGGGAAAAAGGAAAGGGCTGGCAGGTAGTTGGAGGCGCACCCGTCTCTTCGCCACGCTCCTAGTCTTTGGCCACTCTCCTCTTGCTGCTCCTGTTGCCCCCAGGTGGGAAACCAGCAGCAGCAGCAGCCATGCCAGCAGCAGGGCCAAAGGGCAGCAAGAGGAGAGCAGCCGGAGACGAGGAGCGTAGAGAAGAGAGACAGGTGCTCCTCCCGCTGCCATCCAGCTCTGCAGCCCCAGGTGCTTTCCTTCCTCGCTCTTTCTTTTTTCCTTCTCTTTATTTCTTTCCTTCTTTTTCCCAATCTTTTCCATTTCCTTCCTTCTGCCGTAATCCCTTCCTTCCTTTCATCTTTCCCTTCCCTCCCTCCCTCCCTCGTTCTTTATTTTCCTCTGCTCTTGGCCCCTCCCTCCCTCCATTCAGATCCATCTCCACCCCTCATCCTCGCCCTTCGCAGCCACCGGGGGAGAGAACGGTAGCGGCAGGGCCAAGGGGCCATGGATGAAGGAATCTCATCCCTCTGCCTCCATGCGCCTCTCGAGTGCACCAGTATTCCAATTCCAGGATATCAGGTTTTTGTGCCAAATTTGATAAAGATCCATCATTGTTTGAGTTCACAGTGCTCTGTGGATGTAGGCAAACTATAACTCCAAAGGCCCAATGCCCTTCCATTGACTATTATTATTATTATTATTATTATTATTATTGCTCCTGCAGTAATTCTATCTTCCTGTGTGGCAGAAAGAAGAGGCTGGACTACATGACCTTTGGGGTTTCCTTTAAATTGTATGAGTCTTATAATACTACATAATAATAACAATACACTAATTCTATATTCCTGCCTGGTATAAAGGAGGGCGCTGGACTAGATGGCCTTTGGGGGTCCCTTCCAACTGAGAATAATAATAATAATAATAATAATAATAATAATAATAATAATAATAAAATAGTAACTCTTATTTTCCTGCCTGGCATAAAAGAGGGGCTGGAGTAGATGACCTTTGGGGTCCCTTCCAACTGAGAATAATAATAATAATAATAATAATAATAATAATAATAATAATGTATAATAATAAAATAGTAACTCTTATTTTCCTGCCTGGCATAAAAGAGGGGGCTGGACTAGATGACCTTTGGGGGCTCAGTGCTCTTTGATTGTAGGTGAACTATAAATCCCAGCAACTACAACTCCCAAATGTCACGGTCTATTTTCCCCAAACTCCACCAGTGTTCGCATTTGGGCATAATGAGTGTTTGTGCCAAGTTTGGTCCAGATCCAGGATTGTTTGGGTTCACATTTGCTCTCTGGATGTAGGTGAACTATATCTCTCCTAAATCACTGCCAACCCCCTCCAGTATTTTTTTTGTTGGTTATGGGGGTTCTGTGTGCCAAGTTTTGTCCAGGTCTTTCATTCGTTGGGAGTCTCAGTTGTCTGTGGAAGTCAGAACTGAATCTGTTGAAGGTACTGCAAAGCCCATCATCCATTGTCCATACTCCTCCAAACATGTTTTGGTGATTAATCTCTATGCTTTAATTATGTTCAATTTGTAATGATGAAATACATTCTGCATATCAGATATTTACATTAACAATTCATAACAGTAGCAAAATTACAGTTATGAAGTAGCAACAAAAATATTTTTTTAGGGGGCAAAAAAAAAAAAAAACAAACTTACGAAGTGCAATGGAAATACATGTCTATCGGTGGGGGGGCGCGGGGGTCACACAACTAGTGAGGAAATTTATATTAGGGGTCACGGACATGATAGAACGGTTGAGAACCCACGGTCCGTAAGGGTTTATAGGTCAAACCAGCACTTTGAATTGTGCTCGGAAGCTAATGGCAGCCAGTGGAGCTGGCGCAACAGAGGAGTAATATGCTCCCTGTACCCCGCTCCTGTTAGTAATCTGGCTGCCGAGCGTTGGACTAATTGCAGCTTCCGGGCAGTCTTCAGAGCCAACCCCACGTAGAGAGCGTTGCAGTAGTCTATACGGGATGTAACCGAGCGTGGACCACCGTGGCCAAGTCAGACTTCCCAAGGTACGGTATATAGAGCCATATAAATATATACTACGCAAAGAAGCACACATTAGTGTGCGTCTTACAATCGGTGGCATTTTAGAATAAATATGGTACATATCCCCATAGAAACATTTTTTTTGGTACTCATTACGCACAGAGCATTTTATATATATAGATAATACACAAACAAGCTCACATTAGTATGCGTCATATATAGATATAGATACGGTTCTCAAATTAGTGTGCCTCTTACAATACATACAGTGCATTGGGTTGTTGGGCTTGGCCTCATTTATGTCGCTCCGAGTCCCCTTGGTGGCAGGATTTAAATAAATTATTATTATTATTATTATTATTATTATTATATAAGTATATAATACACAAAGCACACTGTTGTAGTAGAGCCTGTGAGTAACGTTACAAACAGTAGTATGGTTGCCAGAAAGAGTGCCCGGTGGTGCAGTGGGTTAAACCCCTGTGCCGGCAGGACTGAAGACCGACAGGTCGCAGGTTCAAATCCGGGGAGAGGCGGATGAGCTCCCTCTATCAGCTCTAGCTCCTCATGCGGGGTCATGAGAGAAGCCTCCCACAAGGAAATTATCCGGGCATCCCCTGGGCAACATCCTTGCAGACAGCCAATTCTCTCACACCAGAAGCGACTTGCAGTTTCTCAAGTTGCTCCTGACACGACCAAAAAAAGGGTGCCAGAAGGGGAAAAAGGGTTACTGGAGAGCAGGAATCTGATGATGAGCAGCAGAGGAAGAGGATCCGGGACATATTTACATGAGGAGCCGTTTGAGGGATTCTCTGGGTATGATGGGTCAATGAGTGGAGGAGGAGAAGGAGACACCATGGATTGGACTAAGATAAGAGAAGTGCAAGCTATTTGTGAGGAGCCAACAACTAGTGATGCTTTTATGGGGTTCTCTGGGGGTGAAGACTGGCAATCAGGGGATCCAACTGAGTCTTGGCGGGGACCGAAGTCTTGACAGGAGATGGAGGAATTGGAGGGAAGGACAAGGGAATTCACGTGAGGAGCTGGGAGCAGCTGCGGGGGATAATGATGGGGCGGTGGTCAGTTCATCTTCTGATGATGATTTGTAAATAAAAGTGGGTTCAGGGGTGATGGGTCCTTGCAGAAGGCAAGGTGTTGATGTGCGTTTGTGTGTTGGGTGCTGTGTATTGGAAAATATTCTTGTAGACTTGTTGCTGCCTGTTTCGTGTTCGGTGTTGGTTTAGGATCTGCAGTTTGGACCTCCTGTTCGTTCGCTTATTGACCCGGATTGGCTTCTCGTGAATGTGGACTTTGCCCTTCCTGGACCTGGACCGGTTTGACTAAAGACGCTGCTTCTGCGGACACAGGAGCAGCACTGTTTCGGATTTCTCCCGTTTGACCCTGGATTTTGCTTGACGACGCTTCTCTTTCTGCGTCTTAGAATAAATATGGTAGATTGCTCCATATAAATATATAATACCCAAAAAAGCACACATTAGTGTGCCACTTACAATTGATGGTGTCTTAGAATAAATGCGGTATATAGATCCATATAAATATATAATACCCAAACAAGCACATATTAGTGCACCACATACAATTGGTGGTGTCTTAGAATAGAGGAAATATGGTATAAATATGTATTATAGACTTATCTCCATATAAGTATATAATACACAAAGCACACATTAGTGTGCCTCTTATGATCGATGGTGTCTTAGAATAAATACGGTATATATCTCCATATAAGTATATAATACACAAAGAAGCACATATTAATGTGCCTCTTAGAATTGATGGTGTCTTACAATAGAGGAAATACAGTATATATCTCCATATAAATATGAAGCTTCTCCCACCTGATGCGCCTCTCCACAGACGCCGTGCACAGGTCCTGAGCATCCAATTCCGGCATCCCATGCTGCTGAGGCTCCAATGGGAGAGGCCCATTCTGCAAGTCCACTTTCTGCATCCTTGGAGACGTCAATGGGATCCCGGATCTGCTACCTGCCCGGTTCTGGATGCGTGCAACTTCTCCGAGGGATCACCGAGCATCCGCAGGACATGATGCTCTTTGGAGGAATGCGTTCAAGACCTGGGAGAACTGAAAGCAAAGCAGGGCAAAGGGCCACTTGTTATCAAGAGTGATACATACAAGAAAGAACTCTAACCCCCCTTGAGACAAACAAACCACAGCTCCCTTTTTTCCATGCTTAGCCAGCCAAGTTCACAGCCGCTTATCTGCTTCTCAGATAAACAAACACTTCAAGGTTTATTGCCTAGGGATACCAACGAAACCTGCTGAGCATTTTCCATATTCACCTGCTTGGCAGGAAATGGGAGAGACCTTTGGGAAGACAAAAGGAGTGGCACAACCGAGGTCTGCCAAAAACAGAGGAAAAACAGTCCAGGGTTCGTGCGCCTTTAATTAAAACAGTCCAGAACTCAATTAACCTTTAATAAAAGTACTCCGTGGCTTCTACATCTCTAATTAAAACAGTCCAGAACTCAATTAACCTTTAATAAAAGTACTCCGTGGCTCCTACATCTTTAATTATAACAGTCCTGGGGGTCATATAGTATTCATAAAGCCATTCCAGGACTCATGCACCTTTAATTAAAACAGTCCAGGATTCAATGCACCTTTAATAAAAGTACTGCGTGGCTCCTACATCTTTAATTAAAACAGTCCAGAACTCAATGCACCTTTAATAAAAGTACCCCGTGGTTCCTACATCTTTAATTAAAACAGCCCAGAACTCAATKMACCTTTAATAAAAGTACYYCGTGGCTCCTACATCTTTAATTAAAACAGTCCAGAACTCAATTAACCTTTAATAAAAGTACTCTGTGACTCCTAYGTCTTTAATTAAAATGGTCCAGGGCTCCTTTACCTTTAATTATAACAGTCCTGGGAGTCATATATAATTCATAAAGCCATTCCAGGACTCATGCACCTTTAATTAAAACAGTCCAGAACTCAATTAACCTTTAATAAAAGTACTCCGTGGCTCCTACATCTTTAATTAAAACAGTCCAGGACTCAGTTAACCTTTAATAAAAGTACTCCGTGGCTCCTACATCTTTAATTAAAACAGTCCAGAACTCAATTAACCTTTAATAAAAGTACTCCGTGGCTCCTACATCTTTAATTAAAACAGTCCAGAACTCAATTAACCTTTAATAAAAGTACTCTGTGGCTTCTACATCTTTATTTAAAACAGTCCAGGGCTCCTTCACCTTCAATTATAACAGTCCTGGGAGTCATATATCATTCATAAAGCCATTCCAGGACTCATGCACCTTTAATTAAAACAGTCCAGGGCTCCTGCATGTTTAATTATAACAGTCCTGGGGGGTCATATATATAATTCATACAGCCATTCCAGGACTCATGCACCTTTAATTAAAACAGTCCAGGGCTCCTTCACCTTTAATTATAACAGTCCTAGGAGTCCTATATAATTCATAAAGCCATTCCAGGACTCATGCACATTTAATTAAAACAGTTCAGGACTCAATGCACCTTTAATAAAAGTACTTCGTGGCTCCTACATCTTTAATTAAAACAGTCCAGAACTCAATTAACCTTTAATAAAAGTACTCTGTGGCTTCTACATCTTTAATTAAAACAGCCCAGGGTTCCTGCATGTTTAATTATAACAGTCCTGGGGGTCATATATCATTCATAAAGCCATTCCAGGACTCATGCACCTTTAATTTAAAAAGTCCAGGACTCAATGCACCTTTAATAAAAATACTCTGTGACTCCTACATCTTTAATTAAAACAGTCCAGAACTCAATGCACCTTTAATAAAAGTACTCCGTGACTCCTATGTCTTTAATTAAAACAGTCCAGGGCTCCTTTACCTTTAATTATAACAGTCCTGGGAGTCATATATAATTCATAAAGCCATTCCAGGACTCATGCACCTTTAATTAAAACAATCCACGGTAAATGCACCTTTAATAAAAGTACTCAGTGACTCCTATGTCTTTAAATAAATCAGTCCAGGGCCCCTGCATGTTTAATTATAACAATTCTGGAGTCATATATAAGTCACAAAGCCATCCCAGGGCTCCTGCACCTTTAATAAAACTACTCCAGGGCTTCTACATCTTTAATTAAAACAGTCCAGGGCTCCTTCACCTTTAATTATAACAGTTCTGGGGTCATATATAATTAATAAAGCCATCCTGGGACTCATGCACCTTTAATTAAAACAGTCCAGGACCCAATGCAGCTTGAATAAAAGTACTCCGGGGCTCCTGCACCTTTAACAAAACTACTACAGGACGTCTGCATCTTTAATGAAAATGATCCAGGGCTTCTTCACCTGTAATTTTAACGGTTCTGGGGTCATATATAATTAATAAAGCCATCCTGGGACTCATTCACCTTTAATTAAAACGGTCTAGGGAGCAATGCAACTGGACTCATGCAACTTTAATTAAAAGAGTCCAGGGCACAATGCACCTTTAATAAAACTATTCCTGGGCACCTGAACCTTTAATGAAAACATTGCAGGGCTCCTGTACTTTATAATAGTTATAGAGCCATATATAATTAATAAAGGCACCTTCAATTATAACAGTTCTGGGGATCCATATATAATTAAAAGTGCAGGAGCTCTGCGACATTTTAATTAAATGTGCAGGAGCCCTGGAAAGCCTTTATTAAAGGTGCATTGCATCCTAGACTGTTTTAATTAAAGGTGCATGAGTCCTGGAATGCCTTTATTAATTATTTAAGACCCCCCAGAACTGTTATAATTAAAGGTCGCCCCAGGGCTGAGAGCGGCGGTTAATAAATGCATCAAATAAATAAATAATAAATAAATAAGGTGCAGGAGCCCTGCAATCTTTTAATTAAAGGTGCAGGAGCCCTGGGATGGCTTTATTAATTATTTAAGATCCATAGAACTGTTAAAGGTGCAGGAGCCTTGCCACATTTTAATTAAAGGTGCAGGAGCCCTGGAATGGTTTTATTAAAGGTGCATTGCAGCCTAGACCGTTTTAGTTAAAGGTGCATGAGTCCAGGGATGGCTTTATTAATTATTTATGACCCCCAGAACTGTTATAATTAAAGGAGCAGGAGCCCTGGAATGGTTTTACTAAAGATGCATTGCATCCTAGACTGTTTTAATTAAAGGTGCATGGGTCCTGGGATGGCTTTATTAATTATTTATGACCCCCAGAACTGTTATAATTAAAGGTGCAGGAGCCCTGCAACGTTTTAATTAAAGGTGCAGGAGCCCTGGAATGGCTTTATTAAAGGTGCATTGCATCCTAGACTGTTTTAATTAAAGGTGCATGAGTCCTGGGATGTCTTTATTAATTATTTATGACCCCCAGAATTGTTATAATTAAAGGTGCAGGAGCCCTGGAATGGTTTTATTAAAGGTGCAGGAGCCCTGGAATGGTTTTATTAAAGGTGCATTGCATCCTAGACCGTTTTAATTTAAGGTGCATGAGTCCTGGGATGTCTTTATTAATTATTTAAGACCCCCAGAACTGTTATAATTAAAGATGCAGGAGCCCTGGAATGGTTTTATTAAAGGTGCAGGAGCCCTGGAATGGTTTTATCAAAGTTGCATTGCATCCTAGACTGTTTTAATTAAAGGTGCATGAGTCCTGGGGTGTCTTTATTAATTATTTAAGACCCCCAGAACTGTTATAATTAAAGGTGCAGGAGCCCTGCAACATTTTAATTAAAGGTGCAGGAGCCCTGGAAAAGCAAGACGACAAATGAAATGCAAAGAAATCCCCGTTCCAAATCGAGGGACAAAGGAAAGACAACTGGATTTGTTTTCCCTGCCATGTAACCAATGCCACACACAACAAGCGAAGAAGAGATTGAATGGCTCTTGCTTTCATTCAAAGGGAAAAGGCCCAAAAGGATATATTGTGACAAGAGAAGGGATTTGGGGAGATTATCCAAAAAAGACAAGGGGAAAAAATGCCTTCGGAACACAAAAGCCTTTTATTGCAAAAGAAAGCAGGAAAAAATAACCAGGGCATTGCCACCTTTTTGTGCAAGTGTCACTCGATCCCTTAATTTCTAGCTTTGCAAAAACTCTCAAAATAATTGGGAACTGCAAATCCCTCGATTTGCTGCGTTTGCATCCCTTGGATCCTTTTCTCCCGATGACTCCCAAAACTGCGTTTCTGAAAAGCTCAGCGGATATTTTAAATGTATTTAATTCTACACCGAAGAAGCAGAAATCGTATTTAGGTCAATGCCCTTATTTTGCCAGCATGTGATTCCCGGGCTCGAAAGCTTCCCATCTCAATGCGATAAGAGACCTAGCACCATGTAACTACGTCACCAAGGCAAAAAAGTTGGAAAGGAGGGGTCTCTGAGCATGTGCAAAGTGCTTTCTGCAGTTGCAGCTGCAGATAGATCTGAGCAGAGCCTCTGAGCATGTGCAGAGTGCTTTTTGCCTCCTTTGGTTTGCTCTCATACAGTTGCAGCTGCAGATAGATCTGAGCAGGGCCTCTGAGCATGTGCAGAATGCTTTTTGCCTCCTTTGGTTTGCTCTCATACAGTTGCAGCTGCAGATAGATCTGAGCAGAGCCTCTGAGCATGTGCAGAATGCTTTTTGCCTCCTTTGGTTTGCTCTCATACAGTTGCAGCTGCAGATAGATCTGAGCAGAGCCTCTGAGCATGTGCAGAATGCTTTTTGCCTCCTTTGGTTTGCTCTCATACAGTTGCAGCTGCAGATAGATCTGAGCAGAGCCTCTGAGCATGTGCAGAGTGTTTTTTGCCTCCCTTGGTTTGCCCCCTTCATACAGTTGAAGTTGCAGATAGATCTGAGCATGTGCAGAGTGCTTTTTGCCTCCTTTGGTTTTGCCTTCCTCATACAGTTGCAGCTGCAGATAGATCTTAGCAGGGCCTCTGAGCACGTACAGAGTGCTTTTTGCCTCCCTTGGTTTGCTCTCATACAGTTGCAGCTGCAGATAGATCTGAGCAGGGTCTCTGAGCATGTGCAAAGTGCTTTTTGCCCCCCTCGGTTTGCCCTCCTCATACAGTTGAAGCTGCAGATAGATCTGAGCAGAGCCTCTGAGCATGTGCAGAGTGCTTTTTGCCTCCCTTGTTTTGC